TGTATTTTTCATAGCAGACCTGCCAAAATTTGTCCAAATACATCTGTATAAACAAAAAGAGTGACATGCACACTTATTCATTTATTTTAGATTTTTACAATGTTCTACGTAGATTTAAAAAAAGCAAGAAATGGGTGTGAAACAATTGCCATTGTTACCCTACCATAAACCAGCTACATCCTAGTATGAAGTTTGGTCCTAAAATAGTATTACATGCAGAAACTAATCTAACTCCGCTCTGAAAGTATGTTTCAATTACGTCTGTGGCAGTGCGAATGCAGGATTAAAAGAAGCTAATGAGACTGAAGATAAGGCTGACACTGGATACCAAATTATTTATAATAATGGTGGCTTTTGTATTCACAGGATTTAAGGACAAGGTGCAATATAAGAGAGAGAAGATAATTTAGAATTTAGATCCTATCTGTGTGGAGTTTGCATGTTCTCCCTGTGTCGGCTTCCTCTGACTAGTCCAGTTTCTTCTACCGCTAAAAACATGTAAAATGGTGAATGATGATGTTTGTACATTGACTGTGGGAAAACAGATGAAAATTAGCCCAAATGTATTTTTCAATCCCAAGGTAATACGTTTGGTTTTTCATTTGGTAAACAGCCAAATGAATAAAGAAAGATGCACACACATTTGTAAGGCACAATTAAATCAGATTGTTAGCAGCTAGGATCTTAACAGGTACCAAAAGGAGAGAGCACACAACTCCGGTGTTAAAATCACTCCACTGGCTTCCCATGGAGTTAAAATAAAGTTTAAAATCCTTCTTTTAACATATAAAGCCATAAATGTCTTGGCTCCTTCTTATCTTCAAGACATGTTAAGAGTCTTATCAACCAAACCGAGCTCTGTGCTCGCAAATCGCCAGAAGTTTAGTGGTTCCTAAGGTCTCAAAAAGCACTGTTGGCCCAAGAGCATTTAGCTGCCAAATTCTTTACTGTGGAATCAGCTTCCCGTGCACATTAAAGGACAACTCACCCTCAAATCCACTTTTTTTTGTGGCTGAAACACAGTATAAATGAGTGTCCAATAGTGTTGTCTACATATCCTGGTCATAATTTTGTCGTTTTGGTGCAAATTAGTTGAAACTTTCTGCCTAAAACTGTCTGTGAGGCGCCATCTGCAGGCGACCTGTATTACTACATTTGAATTTTGAATCTGGCGCCAACACTGGCGCGGCAGTGATACCTGACGTCTAACGGCCCAGTCTCGTTCACGCCCCCGAAGGAAGGAAGGAATAGCAGAGAGTATCTATCGATTGTCAGGTTTGCGATTAGTTTTAGCATTTAGGTAGATTATTATTAGTGTAGTTGTTGGTATTATTGATAATTGTGTAGTGTTAATAGTGTTGTTGTTGAATATTGTAGTTTTAGTCACTATTGCTTTTATTGTCAAGTGTCAATCACAGCGTAGATCCACCCAACATTCACCCCCCGCCTGCCCCCTTTAGTCCTCCAGGCCAGTTTGCTTTGTATTTAAAATGGTTGTTAAAGACTTTTGTCAAAACGGGGTAAACAATACACAATAAGTATGCTGTGATAAAAATAAAAATGAAAGTAAAAGCCGGCGGGAGTTGATCAACTGATCGAAACAGCGAATCAGAGAGTGCAGCCGGCTCCCGAGTCCGGCTCCCGAGTCCGGCTCCCGAGTCCGGCTCCCGAGTCCGGCTCCCGAGTCCGGCTCCCGAGTCCGGCTCCCGAGTCCAGCTCCAGCGTATGTCTGGTTTGGACACCACATAGAGCTACTGTTTCTCTAAAAGTGTTAGGATAACATGTTTTTTGGGTGTAAATATGTGACTCACTATTTGCCCCGAAGAGGAAGAAAGCGGCTCGACTTTTTTCATCTGTTCATCTCATGGATCTATTATAATAACAGTTCATCAGCGACACTTCACTGAGACTGTTCCAGAACTACAGGAACAATGGAACTGGACTTACTCAAAAACTGATCTGGAAACCAGTGTTATTCCCACAATAAAAAACTTAACGCGAACCCTCCCATCTGTGAGTACCGGGATGCTAACACGCCGTATACTTCTGTAAACTAAATAACTAGGGTCTGATTGCGCACCGAAGACATGGGCTCGATGTGACGGATTGTCATTGTTGGAAAAAGTTTATTCGTTTGTCTGAAATGACTAAGTAGCGATGACAAACCTCAGAGCGTAATGCTGTCATGGATGAAGGAGTATGACTCAATTGCAGAAAATGATGAGAATTTATTTACAAAAATGAAACAGGATAAATAATGCAGGTGAACCGGAGACCAGGAGACGGACGGATGTGGACCAAGGTACTGGAGAGGAGATTGGAGAGGTAAGTTGCAGGTTGGGAAATTTTCAGATAGTAATATTAAAATACCAGAAGGGCGGACAGGTCAGATCTTGGCAGGTCAGACAGATAAGTGGAAGGCAGGCAGGAAGGAACTGGACGAAAAAAAACTGAGGTAAGTACAAAAAGGCTGTATTACACAAAACAAGAGCCAAAACTGGTACTTAGAGTCACAAACAAACTGGCAGAGTCCTGCTGGAAAGCCATAGCTTTTGAACTGTGTTGATTGAAGATAGCAGCCAGCTGTGCTGCCCTGCACTCTGGAGCTGCCACACCCAGGAAGGTGGAGACACACACACACACACACACAGAGGGGAGGAGAACAGGACAAAACACAAAGCCACACTGTGACAGATGCTACGTCACCGTGCAGGCGGGGGGAGGTGGGCTCACAGACAGAGGAGCAGACTGATCTCTGGATCAGCTCGTTTGAGTCGAGGTTGAGGCTATAATCTCACAAGTTTTGAGTGTTGTATGGTGTATCACACACATTATTATCACACATGTGCATCGGACTGACTGTGAAACATGAAGAAAAGCGTAATACAGGACCTTTGAGGAGGCAGACACGGTCTCTACATTCAAGGCCAGGCTTAAGAAACTCTTCAATTTAGCAAATGGTTAGTTTGTTTGTCTGGTTTTGGAGTCTGCTTGTACGGGACCCGATCTGGTGCATCTTCAACCTTGTTATTATAGATTGTGGACTTGGGCTAACCTAACCGTGGCTGCTGCTGTCCCTCCTTCGGTCGGACACAATCCCTACATTCAAAGCTAGGATTAAAACAGTCCTCTTCAGTTTAGCATATGGCTAGGAAGGTAAGGTAGACTGTCAGTCAAGCTGCATAGGGAGCCCCCTGCTGGAGAAGTATGGTAACTTGAGCACTATCCTCTCCTCCTTCCTACTTTATTTGTTTAGCATTATTTGGATTTTGACTGTAGTCGTTCATTGCTATTCACCCGTTGTCCCATTGTGTCTGTTTCATGGTGCGACGATGGAACCTTTGAACCTGGCCCCCTCCATCTACACCTGCGGACTGCCCTGCCCGACCTGCCTGGGAGCTGTTCCAGTCTCATGCGTGGAGTTGAGTTGTTCCTTGCTGATGCAGGAGGGTCTGTTGGACAGTTAGTGTCTAACGAGAAGGACTGTGGTGATGATCCAGGACACTTTAACATTCTACAACATGTATGACATTTATCAACATCAATGGACATTGGTCTCTCCCTATGGACCAATACATACGTGTTCTATGTATATTTTTGTCTTAACTGTTGATTCTCTGATCTGTGGTGATTTCAACGGTTTTTATTAAGTCCTCTGAGATGACTGCTGTTGTGATTTAGGGCTCTACAAGAATAAATTGTATTGTATTGTAGTTACCAGGGGAGCTGCTCTTCACCACAATATTAAACTATTGGTTCTTTGGAAATGTGTGATGTCACATGAACTCGTTATTATTCTCAAAATGTTTAATACTAAGAACTCCTTAGACTTTGATTGCATTGAGAGAGAAAAAACATTTTGCATCTAAAAGATTTTTGGAACTGTATCCAGTCACATTACAGTCTTTAAAACTTCAATTAGACTGTGCAACGTTAGATGTTGAATCTCTCACGTGGAAGCTCACCAGCACTGCCCTGACCTGGGCTGAGTCGCTTTTTTATTTTGGAAGGAAAGCAATCTTAGTGACACAATGGCTCCTAATAGCTCTGCAAAAGGAGACACATTGATCCATGTTGAAGTCAAACAGAAGTCTATGTGAGGACTGACCCGCCTGCTCTCACATCGACACTCTGTTTCCAACATCCAGCCAAAGCAATTTCCAAAAGTCAACACAAACAGGATGGAGCATTGTGAGCTTTATATCTGTTCTTACATCTTGTGGAGAAGGGACAAGCAAACAGATTTGTTATCGCCCTCCTCCGCCTGGTATTGGGCTGGTACTGAACAAAAAGAGTTCAATTAAGCCAAGCTGAAGATCGGAACATTACATTATGGGGACATTGGTTCTGACCACAGACTGTAACTATTATTGGACATAGTGGCGCCTATTTCCTCTGTTGAAATGTATATGTGACCAACATAAGTGCACAATTTTAAAATGGCTGCCAGCCGCTCCTGCAGGAAAATGTGAAAGAACGCATTAGTGCTCTAAACTGAAGTCTTCTATCCTTCCCTTTAGAGAGCGCATACATACTTAATGATAAGGCCCATTTAACAGCAGCACAGGGAGGTTTCCATAAAATCAGCCTTTATGAAGCTGATTAGCCTCCATTTGTGTCCCATACATAAGTATTCCTAACTGGCTCAAATAAATACATGCTCAGCGACTTGGAGCCTGTGCACATCATGCATTCCTTTTAAAATGCAGAGGCAACACTTTTTTAATGTTACAACCTTCAAAAAACAGACCTGGAGTTGAACTTCTGGCACAGCTGGATGCAAACTCAACTCCTTCTGTCCAAATGCATCTTCAAAGTATTGTCACCAATTAGATACGGGAAATACGATTATTGTCTTTCTACTGCGTGTCTTCGGTTAAACCACACCATTTCAGACGCCATTTGTTGTTTACTTTCCATTTGTCGTTGTTTACCTGACCTTTTTCCCCAAAAAATTGTCACGTTTAGCCCAAGGACACAAGCACAGAAGATGTCAGAGTATGTCCTGTTGGAGAATCAAAGGTCAGAACCTCAGATGGCCACTCCCTGATTCACAGCTCGGTCGAGTGTAGTTCTTTTCTGCCAGTGTTTGTCACATGTTTTACGTCCCCTTAAGAGGACCGTAGGCTGTGAACTTCCTGTTCTGGAGGCTCTTTATCAATCCAGACTTTTTAACAGTGCCCTGAGAATTATCAATGACTCTTCTGGCCACCCTGGAAAAGCCTTGTTCCAGCTTCTTCCCTCTGGCAGAAGATACTGTTCTCTGAGATGCAGGACATCTCGTTATGCTAATAGTTTTTTTCCACGAGCTGTTATCAGTGTGAACAGAGCACTTTAATGTTTTTGCACTTGTATAGATCTGTTTTAAGTTGGTCAACTTCACAGTGACATTTGTTTACTGTTTTTAAAATTTGTTTTATTTTTGTCTTTTAATGTTGTTTTGTGTCTGTACTTGTCCTGTGCACACTGGGAACTTTTACTAATGTATTCCAATGTAGTGTTACTGCAAATGGCGAATAAAATGAATCTGAATCTGTCTTTGTTACTTCAGATCTCCGTTCCGTGCCTTGCGACCTTGTGTTACTTTTGCCCTTGTTTCGGCAACTTCTCCTGTTCTTGCTTGATTGTCCAGTTAATTAATTCTATTTTTGTTCATTAATTTCTTTTGTTAACCCCTTTTTTGTTTCCGCATTTGGGTTCTGCTGCACTTTTGAGCCGCCCCCACTGGTGTCAACACAATCATATTACACACACTGGCCTCGTTGGTATTTAATAGTTAAAGTACAGTAACTCACAGTACAGGGGCGACAGTAGCTCAGTTGGTAGAGCACTGGCCTTTGAGCCTGAAGGTCGTGGGTTCAAGCCCACCACGGGACCTTCTCCACCGACTCCCACTGATGACTGCTGTCGTTGTGTCCTTGGGCAAGACACGTAACCCTGCATTGCCTGAAGCCCCCACTGAAAAATCAAGGCCGTATTGTCACTGACAGAGCAGCCGTCCTCCTGTGGACTCACCACCTGCAGAGGGTCAGTGAGGGGCTGGTGCTCAGTGAATTGGGTGCAGCTCTGACTGTCACCCCCCCGACCCAGAAATGGATTAAAGGGAAGAAGATGGATGGATGGATGGAAGTACAGTAACTGCCGGGGCGTAGAGCAGGAGCATTTGCTAAACAAACTGAATTGACATTACTGTGGACCATCCATCTTAAGTCCGTTGATCCAATGTGGGCCTCCCGAAGTCACTGTTTTTTATAATCGCATTTCCTGTGTTTGAACTGTTTCAATTCTCTGATCTGTGTTGGAGGATAAATTATCTTTAGTAAAGTCTGTTAAGATTTTACAGAAATAAATGCAATTGAAGACATAATTCCACATTCTACATTTCTTGTTGAATGGCAATATTTATAATAAGGTCATATTTCATTTTGAGGTTTGAGAGATCTATATACTTCAAAGTCACAAACTGATAATGTACCTTTTAAACAATCCCCATATCACACAACATATATATGGAGGTGTGGTTTTAGCTGAAAATAAGGGTGAAAGGTCAGAGTCGTGGTCGTCACCGCCTTCACAGAGCCATAGTTGGTGCTAAACCATCAGACTCACTGCTGCGTCACTTTGAAAGAGCTATTTTATGCTACATTTAGCTTCATTTCTATTTCAAACATTAATGAGTTTTAGGGATATTGGTATTACTGGAGCGTGACGGGGAAATGACAGTTGAATGTAATTACTCTGTTGTGTATAAAATGGAAGAGGGCAAGACAAAGTTGTGAATAATGTGAATACTCATGTTTGTTGGAAATTGCAATGAAAAAATTTATTTATTATCGTGAGATGAAGAAAGACCACGCCTCCTGTGTCTCTTCAGATTCTGTTCACAACACGATTATAATATGTAAGTGTTTTTAGCAGCTCCAACAAGGCTAAAGAGGCTAACTTCTAACTGAGCTAAGGCTGCAGCATTACTCTTTCTTTGTTTCAATAGTCCGGGAGACGCCGACTTCGCAAATAGATTGAGGAAAGTTGCAGGTTTTATGACAGGACTGACTGTCATTGTGAACATGGTATTTATGGCAAGGCAAGGCAAGTTTATTTGTATAGCACAATTCATACACAAGGCAATTCAAAGTGCTGAACATAACAAGAAAGCATTAAAATCATAAATAATCACAGAACATTAAAAAGAAAGATAAAAACATAAAATCCCTCAGTTGTAGCACAGCTAAACAGAACTGTCTTTAACCTGGTTTTAAACATTGTCAGAGAGTGTGCCTGTCTCACATCTTCAGGAAGAAGATGTGAGACAGGCACATCTTCTTCCTGAAGATGTGCCTGTCTCACATCTTCAGGAAGACTGTTCCAGATTTTAGCAGCATGAATCTGAAAAGCAGCCTCCCCATGTTTAGTTCTGACTCTGGGCACTAACAGGAGTCCAGTCCCTGTGCTCCTCAGAGTCCCAGCAGGAGGCCAGTCCCTGTGGTCCTCGGAGTCCCAGCAGGAGTCCAGTCCCTGTGCTCCTCAGAGTCCCAGCAGGAGGCCAGTCCCTGTGCTCCTCAGAGTCCCAGCAGGAGGCCAGTCCCTGTGCTCCTCAGAGTCCCAGCAGGAGTCCAGTCCCTGTGCTCCTTAGAGTCCCAGCAGGAGTCCAGTCCCTGTGCTCCTCAGAGTCCGGGCTGGTTCATATGGGACTAACATGTCACTAATATATTTTGGTGCGAGGCCATGGAGAGACTTGTAACAAGCAGAGCTTTTTTAAAGTCTATTCTCTGAGCCACAGGAAGCCAGTGCAGAGACCTGAGGACTGGACTAATGTGGTCGTACTTCCTGGTTCTAGTCAGGACTAATATGGTCATACTTCCTGGTTCACACCTCTGCCCTACTACTTATTTGTATATTGTGTGCTCCCTGTGTCTCTTACTACTGTCCTGTCTGTGCGCTGCAACATCGACATTTCCCCACTGTGGGACCAATAAAGGAATTCTTATCTTATCTTATTGCCCTGTTAACAGATGTCAGGGAGAAAGCTTCCAAAGCCTGCAAGAACGAGCTAATTGAATTTAAATGATCCCTTTTTTTGTCCCACAGTGGGAAGTTTCAGTGTTGCTTTACAAGTTTTGTTGCTTTATAAGAATGAGGAGCACACAACACAAGATACGTTAATATTAAGTATAGCACAACCTATACTTTTTTTTACAAGAAAGAAGTATATATATATAAGTGAACAGGACCTACAGAGCGGCTCACAGTTTGTTTGGCTACAGCAGAATGTTTCATGTCTGCATTGTTTGCTCATAAACAACACACAAGTTTGTAAAATGCACATTTAAAAGTGTGTTATGGTTTTACCTTATAAATGACCTGCACAGACCAGTTCAGACCAGTTCAGTTCAGACACACACTCACACACACCACTCATGCCACACACACACACACACTCTCTCACTATTCGCGTACCCACTCTTTACAACTGTATCTCACAGACAGATAGTCATAAGATACAGTTGATATCATTTAATTTAAGTGTATATGTGTATATATTCATACATACATACATGCATATAAACAGATACACATACACACACATATACATATAAACATGTATATACACATACATATATACAGTACATATATCCACACATACACACACATATACATATAAACATGTATATACACATACATATATACAGTTCATATATCCACACATACACACACATATACATATAAACATGTATATACACATACATATATACAGTACATATATCCACACATACACACACATATACATATAAACATGTATATACACATACATATATACAGTACATATATCCACACATACACACACATATACATATAAACATGTATATACACATACATATATACAGTACATATATCCACACATACACACACATATACATATAAACATGTATATACACATACATATATACAGTTCATATATCCACACATACACACACATATACATATAAACATGTATATACACATACATATATACAGTACATATATCCACACATACACACACATATACATATAAACATGTATATACACATACATATATACATATATCCACACATACACACACATATACATATAAACATGTACACATACATATATACAGTACATATATCCACACATACACACACATATACATAGACATACATACTGTACATGTCTAAAAGCATACACATATAAATAGCTACCATTCACGTATACATAACCAGTTTTGAATACACATTATTTCTTTAGCTATAAATGAGATGTTACAAACAAAGACAAGTGTTCTTAAGATGAGTGAACAGAGGAAAGGATGTGACCGAGTGGAAGCTGGAAGGTTGTTCCAGTCACGTCTCCAGACCTCAACCCCATTGAACATCTGTGGAGGGAGTTCAAAGTTGAGTTGAATTTTTGTTTTTGACCAAATACTTATTTTCCACCATAATTTACAAATTAATTCTTTAAAAATCCTACAATGTGAATTCCTGGATTTTTTCTCTCACAGTTGAAGTGAACCTATGATGAACATTACAGACCTCTGTCATTATTTTAAAGTGGTTCTCACCCCCGCTCCTCGGAGCTTACGTCACTCACATTTCCTGTTCAAATCTTCCTCTAAATGGGCGTAGCCTGGAGGACTGAAGGGGGCGTGAACGAGACTGGGCCGTTTACATTGCTCTGGGCGGGGGGCTGCTGACGTCAGGTCCAACTTCTGTGCCAGTGTTGGCGCCAGATTCAAAATTCAAATGTAGTAATACAGGTCGCCAGCAGATGGCGCCTCACAGACGGTTTTAGGCAGAAAGTTTAACTTTCAACTAATTTGCACCAAAGTGACAAAATTATGACCAGGATATGTAAACAACACTATTGGACACTCATTTATACCGTTTATCAGCAAAAAAAAGTGGATTTGAGGGTGAGTTGTCCTTTAAGTGGGAGAACTTGGACAATCGGTGGCTGACTACTTTTTTGCCCCACTGTATGTTAGGCAAAAAATGAAAGATTAAATGATTACTGAATTAATTAACAACTATTTCAATAATCAATTAGTTGTGATATATCGATTTAAATTGTGATAAACATGAGAGGTGTAGAATAAGTGGGAGGCCTCGGACTGTTTGTTGCATGGCGCCGTAAAAATGGCGCCTTGGCAAGAGCTCTGGTGTGTGTCGTCTTCTCTGTATGGTGCACACTGGGGTAGTCTTGCACAGTTTTTCCTATGTGGTTTTACTGCAAATGGCAAATAAATGAATCTGAATGTTGTTACAGCCCTAATTCAAATTATAATGACAGGTTGTGACCCATCACAGCGGACCACTGGCCCCCACTTTCTTGAGAATCGCCACAGGTCTCTTGTTAGCACAGGCAGCTGAGGTAAACAAAACAACCTGAAACGTCCGGTGTCTTCGTTACCGGTTTCTGCTTACTCAGCGAAACAGCCAAAAGAAAGTCTCCTTCCGCCGCGCTTCCCAGTTCTGTCATTCTATGGTCACGCCATCCACGTGGGGGGGCCGGAGGGCGAGCAGAGAGAGCGAGCTCAGCGTTCTCATTCGAAAATTTCTAAAAGTCAGTTAGTGCAGCTTTAATCATGTTTGAGATCTCCCCATAGCAGCTCAGTGATGTTATGATTTGAAACATAATTTGCGTCATACAAACAATGAGTAGAAAAATGAGTGTTCATATTCTCATCATTCATATTCTCTAAAATAAGGCCAAAACAATGAAATCTATGTCTGGGTGTGTAAACGTTCAAGCACAACTAAACTTTAGTTACTTCCATTTCATTTCCTTCTCATCCATCGTCGTCTGTGTTGACTGGCAGTGTTCTGCTGTGGCGAGGAGCAGATCCCTGTTTCTGAAGCTGTTTGCCTTCAGTGTGTCAATGCAGAGGACGTCACAGTGTTCTGCTGTGGCGAGGAGCAGATCACTGTTTCTGAAGCTGTTTGCCTTCAGTGTGTCAATGCAGAGGACGTCACAGTGTTCTGCTGTGGCGAGGAGCGGATCACTGTTTCTGAAGCTGTTTGCCTTCAGTGTGTCAATGCAGAGGACGTCACAGTGTTCTGCTGTGGCGAGGAGCAGATCCCTGTTTCTGAAGCTGTTTGCCTTCAGTGTGTCAATGCAGAGGACGTCAGTGTTCTGCTGTGGCGAGGAGCGGATCACTGTTTCTGAAGCTGTTTGCCTTCAGTGTGTCAATGCAGAGGACGTCAGTGTTCTGCTGTGGCGAGGAGCGGATCACTGTTTCTGAAGCTGTTTGCCTTCAGTGTGTCAATGCAGAGGACGTCACAGTGTTCTGCTGTGGCGAGGAGCGGATCACTGTTTCTGAAGCTGTTTGCCTTCAGTGTGTCAATGCAGAGGACGTCACAGTGTTCTCCTGTGGCGAGGAGCAGATCACTGTTTCTGAAGCTGTTTGCCTTCAGTGTGTCAATGCAGAGGACGTCACAGTGTTCTGCTGTGGCGAGGAGCAGATCCCTGTTTCTGAAGCTGTTTGCCTTCAGTGTGTCAATGCAGAGGACGTCACAGTGTTCTGCTGTTTCTGAAGCTGTTTGCCTTCAGTGTGTCAATGCAGAGGACGTCACAGTGTTCTGCTGTTTCTGAAGCTGTTTGCCTTCAGTGTGTCAATGCAGAGGACGTCACAGTGTTCTGCTGTGGCGAGGAGCGGATCACTGTTTCTGAAGCTGTTTGCCTTCAGTGTGTCAATGCAGAGGACGTCAGTGTTCTGCTGTGGCGAGGAGCAGATCACTGTTTCTGAAGCTGTTTGCCTTCAGTGTGTCAATGCAGAGGACGTCACAGTGTTTCTGCTGTGGCGAGGAGCGGATCACTGTTTCTGAAGCTGTTTGCCTTCAGTGTGTCAATGCAGAGGACGTCACAGTGTTCTGCTGTGGCGAGGAGCAGATCCCTGTTTCTGAAGCTGTTTGCCTTCAGTGTGTCAATGCAGAGGACGTCAGTGTTCTGCTGTGGCGAGGAGCGGATCACTGTTTCTGAAGCTGTTTGCCTTCAGTGTGTCAATGCAGAGGACGTCAGTGTTCTGCTGTGGCGAGGAGCGGATCACTGTTTCTGAAGCTGTTTGCCTTCAGTGTGTCAATGCAGAGGACGTCACAGTGTTCTGCTGTTTCTGAAGCTGTTTGCCTTCAGTGTGTCAATGCAGAGGACGTCACAGTGTTCTGCTGTTTCTGAAGCTGTTTGCCTTCAGTGTGTCAATGCAGAGGACGTCACAGTGTTCTGCTGTGGCGAGGAGCAGATCCCTGTTTCTGAAGCTGTTTGCCTTCAGTGTGTCAATGCAGAGGACGTCACAGTGTTCTGCTGTGGCGAGGAGCAGATCACTGTTTCTGAAGCTGTTTGCCTTCAGTGTGTCAATGCAGAGGACGTCAGTGTTCTGCTGTGGCGAGGAGCGGATCACTGTTTCTGAAGCTGTTTGCCTTCAGTGTGTCAATGCAGAGGACGTCACAGTGTTCTGCTGTTTCTGAAGCTGTTTGCCTTCAGTGTGTCAATGCAGAGGACGTCACAGTGTTCTGCTGTGGCGAGGAGCAGATCCCTGTTTCTGAAGCTGTTTGCCTTCAGTGTGTCAATGCAGAGGACGTCACAGTGTTCTGCTGTGGCGAGGAGCAGATCCCTGTTTCTGAAGCTGTTTGCCTTCAGTGTGTCAATGCAGAGGACGTCACAGTGTTCTGCTGTGGCGAGGAGCAGATCACTGTTTCTGAAGCTGTTTGCCTTCAGTGTGTCAATGCAGAGGACGTCACAGTGTTCTGCTGTGGCGAGGAGCAGATCACTGTTTCTGAAGCTGTTTGCCTTCAGTGTGTCAATGCAGAGGACGTCACAGTGTTCTGCTGTTTCTGAAGCTGTTTGCCTTCAGTGTGTCAATGCAGAGGACGTCACAGTGTTCTGCTGTTTCTGAAGCTGTTTGCCTTCAGTGTGTCAATGCAGAGGACGTCACAGTGTTCTGCTGTTTCTGAAGCTGTTTGCCTTCAGTGTGTCAATGCAGAGGACGTCACAGTGTTCTGCTGTGGCGAGGAGCAGATCCCTGTTTCTGAAGCTGTTTGCCTTCAGTGTGTCAATGCAGAGGACGTCAGTGTTCTGCTGTGGCGAGGAGCGGATCACTGTTTCTGAAGCTGTTTGCCTTCAGTGTGTCAATGCAGAGGACGTCAGTGTTCTGCTGTGGCGAGGAGCGGATCACTGTTTCTGAAGCTGTTTGCCTTCAGTGTGTCAATGCAGAGGACGTCACAGTGTTCTGCTGTTTCTGAAGCTGTTTGCCTTCAGTGTGTCAATGCAGAGGACGTCACAGTGTTCTGCTGTTTCTGAAGCTGTTTGCCTTCAGTGTGTCAATGCAGAGGACGTCACAGTGTTCTGCTGTGGCGAGGAGCAGATCCTGTTTCTGAAGCTGTTTGCCTTCAGTGTGTCAATGCAGAGGACGTCACAGTGTTCTGCTGTGGCGAGGAGCAGATCCCTGTTTCTGAAGCTGTTTGCCTTCAGTGTGTCAATGCAGAGGACGTCAGTGTTCTGCTGTGGCGAGGAGCGGATCACTGTTTCTGAAGCTGTTTGCCTTCAGTGTGTCAATGCAGAGGACGTCACAGTGTTCTGCTGTGGCGAGGAGCGGATCACTGTTTCTGAAGCTGTTTGCCTTCAGTGTGTCAATGCAGAGGACGTCAGTGTTCTGCTGTGGCGAGGAGCAGATCCCTGTTTCTGAAGCTGTTTGCCTTCAGTGTGTCAATGCAGAGGACGTCAGTGTTCTGCTGTGGCGAGGAGCGGATCACTGTTTCTGAAGCTGTTTGCCTTCAGTGTGTCAATGCAGAGGACGTCAGTGTTCTGCTGTGGCGAGGAGCGGATCACTGTTTCTGAAGCTGTTTGCCTTCAGTGTGTCAATGCAGAGGACGTCACAGTGTTCTGCTGTTTCTGAAGCTGTTTGCCTTCAGTGTGTCAATGCAGAGGACGTCACAGTGTTCTGCTGTTTCTGAAGCTGTTTGCCTTCAGTGTGTCAATGCAGAGGACGTCACAGTGTTCTGCTGTGGCGAGGAGCAGATCCCTGTTTCTGAAGCTGTTTGCCTTCAGTGTGTCAATGCAGAGGACGTCACAGTGTTCTGCTGTGGCGAGGAGCAGATCACTGTTTCTGAAGCTGTTTGCCTTCAGTGTGTCAATGCAGAGGACGTCAGGGCCTCAGCACTGTGCATTCATCACATTCAGCGGAGAGGGATTGAACGCTTTATGAGCAATCATTTGTTCTTGCCTTGTTTATCTGACTGCTTAAACAAGCAGAGAGCAGTGCAGTGGATGAGTTGAAGGCTTTAACACATTTTAACAGCATTTATTATGTAACACTGACTTTTCCGGCTAACATGTTGTTACACTGTCCCCTTATCAAAAACATACCATACTGTAGCGGGGGGTCGCCACATTTCAGGCTTCAAACATAAAGATATAAAAATATTTTTTTTTGTCAAGAATCAACAACAAGTGGGACACAATCGTGAAGTGGAAAGAAATTTATTGGATAATTTAAACTTTTTTAACAAATAAAAAACTGAAAAGTGGGGCGTGCAATATTATTCGGCCCCCTTGCGCTAATACTTTGTAGCGCCACCTTCTGCTGCAATTACAGCTGCAAGTCGCTTGGGGTATGTCTCTATCAGTTTTGCACATCGAGAGACTGGAATTTTTGCCCATTCTTCCTTGCAAAACAGCTGGAGCTCAGTGAGGTTGGATGGAGAGCGTTGGTGAACAGCAGTCTTCAGCTCTTTCCACAGATTCTCGATTGGATTCAGGTCTGGACTTTGACTTGGCCATTCTAACACCTGGATACGTCTATTTGTGAACCATTCCATTGTAGATTTGGCTTTATGTTTTGGATCATTGTCCTGTTGGAAGATAAATCTCCGTCCCAGTCTCAGGTCTTTTGCAGACTCCAACAGGTTTTCTTCCAGAATGGTCCTGTATTTGGCTCCATCCATCTTCCCATCAATTTTAGCCATCTTCCCTGTCCCTGCTGAAGAAAAGCAGGCCCAAAGCATGATGCTGCCACCACCATGTTTGACAGTGGGGATGGTGTGTTCAGGGTGATGAGCTGTGTTGCTTTTACGCCAAACATATCGTTTTGCATTGTGGCCAAAAAGTTTGATTTTGGTTTCATCTGACCAGAGCACCTTCTTCCACATGTTTGGTGTGTCTCCCAGGTGGCTTGTGGCAAACTTTAAACAAGACTTTTTATGGATATCTTTGAGAAATGGCTTTCTTCTTGCCACTCTTCCATAAAGGCCAGATTTGTGCAGTGCACGACTGATTGTTGTCCTATGGACAGACTCTCCCACCTCAGCTGTAGTTATCTGCAGTTCATCCAGAGTGATCATGGGCCTCTTGGCTGCATCTCTGATCAGTCTTCTCCTTGTTTGAGATGAAAGTTTGGAGGGACGGCCGGGTCTTGGTAGATTTGCAGTGGTCTGATACTCCTTCCATTTCAATATAATTGCTTGCACAGTGCTTTTTGAGATGTTTAAAGCTTGAGAAATCTTTTTGTATCCAAATCCGGCTTTAAACTTCTCCACAACAGTATCTCGGACCTGCCTGGTGTGTTCCTTTGTCTTCATGGTTCTCTCTGGGCTTTAAACAGAACCCTGAGACTATCAAAGAGCAGGTGCATTTATACGGAGACTTGATTACACACAGGTGCATTCTATTTATCATCATCAGTCATTTAGGACAACATTGGATCATTCAAAGATCCTCACTGAACTTCTGGACTGAGTTTGCTGCACTGAAAGTAAAGGGGCCCAATAATATTGCACGCCCCACTTTTCAGTTTTTTATTTGTTAAAAAAGTTTAAATTATCCAATAAATTTTGTTCCACTTCATGATTGTGTCCCACTTGTTGTTGATTCATGACAAAAAATTAAAATGTTATATCTTTATGTTTGAAGCCTGAAATTTTGAAAAGTTCAAGGGGGCCGGATACTTTCGCAAGGCACTGTATATGTTCTTCAATGGCATCTCCACACCTTGGCCAAAAAAGGAGTTGGAAACCATTTTTTGAAGATAAGACCGTGACTTTTACTGAGCTGCTAGTAACTTTGACTCTCCCCTTTTTTCTAATATTTCCCCTATTATTTCTTGTAGATGTGTTTTTGCAGCTCTCATGGATGGCCCGACTTACTGCATCACAGACTACATACACTTCTGTGAGGACAATACTGTACCAACCTGGAAGGCACAGTGTTTCTCCAATAACGACCCATGGGTTCCCCTAAGCTTAAAGGAATAGGCCACAGTGTTTACATACTGACACATGTTCTTACCTTAGACTGATATGTACCTGTCTGGTCTGTGTCCGTGTGCTCTGTCATGCAAACGCAGCACAAACACAGCCTCTTCCACAGACTGTATAGTTCCAAATCAGCTCCCGTTAGAAGCTCCCAAACTCTTCCACGTGTTCCCTTTAAATACAGTTACGTGACGTGTTACACTACAAAGTAAGTAAGTAAGTAAGTTTTTATTTATATACCGCCTTTTCACTGCAGATCTGAGTCTCAAAGCGGTTTACAATTGTTAATTTTGGGCATTTGTCTCTCACTCCACACAGAGATGGGAGCGGGGCCAGTACAGGAGGTGCATGCCAGAACTATTGGACATATTTTTAGTGGTAGGGGAAACCGGAGTACCCGGAGGAAACCTACGCAGACACGGGGAGAATATGCAAACTCCACTCAGAAAGGCCCTGGTCCGACCGGGAAATCCGCATGCATACAGGTCCCATATTACACTTCCAGACTTGTCTATGAATTAAACATCATGACAGCACCAGACACATGCCCAAAGTAGTTTTTTCATTCCCTTCAAGCCTTAGTTAGATAGCAATCTTTCTCTTTCATTCTTAAGAGGCAGCCAAACAACACGGTCCACATTGATGACGTGCACAACATCGATGACGAGCTGCAGAAACCCGCCTCCAGGTGATGGACAGGTGAGAAACCAAAACAGAGAATCAGCGCACACATGGTCCCGACTCACTAGTCACTAGTTTGAAGTGAAATTACAACAACAAACATCAACATCACACGTGCTGTGAAAATGTAGAAGAGCGAAATATGTGAGCTTTAACTACTGTTTGGCTCAAAGCTTTTGTTTTAGTCGATCGATTTCACAGTGACATTTGTTTACTGTTTTATTTGTTTGATTTTTGTCTTTTAATGTTGTTTTATGTCTGTATTTGTCTGTGCACACTGGAGACTTTTGCTAATGTATTCCTATGTGGTGTTTTTACTGCAAATGGCAAATAAACTGAATCTGAATCTGAATCTGAGCTTGTCCTAGCTAGTTGACAACAGCTTTTTCAAAGTCCCTAAAGCTACAGTTTGCAGGATGGTGCATATGTTCTATTAGGTTCCAAAACCAAATGAGGAAATGGAACAGGGATTTACCAGACTCATACAGTATATAGCTGTGTGAAATGACATGCTACAAAGTAGTATGGATACTAGAGGTGGTTAACGTGTTACTTTCACACAGCTGTATAAAAGACATTTTCAAAAAAACCCTGTCTCATTGATCAGGTCTTACAAGGAACCTAAATATGCACATGCTCAGAGATATTTAAACTTTCATCACTCTAAGGCATGGATAATGATCTAAAGAGCTTTCAGAGTGATGAAGAATTACTTACTTTTTTCCAAATCTTCATAATGTTTGCCTGGCAAATGGGAACAGCTTGAACCAAATAATGACTATTTAGAAGATGAGTGTGACCCTTCTCGCACAATGAGGTACCAGGAGACAGGACAGCTGCTATGACAAACGATGCAGTCATCAGTATAAATATTTGTTGAATATAGTTATATAGTGTGTTTTGTTGGTTTTCCTTTTATTGTTTTTACTTTAAATGTGCATGTAAACACTGATAACTGATGTAAACCATCTTCTGCAAACTATGTGTATTATGTATGACTACTTACTTTTGAGTTTGCTTTCATTGAAACATTTCCAATTACTGTACATTTCCACACAAAAAACGGACCGGCTAAATATCACCGAACTGGCAACCAAAAGGGGAGACTCATTTGGGTTGACATGACGCTCTTAACATGTTTTAAAGAGTGCAGTGGAAATAGAATGATTCATGCTGAGCGCAAAGACAGGACCAAACTTGTCAGGCTGGCTTGATAATCCCAACAAACAACTATGTATAATATTGTACTTTATTTGTCTTATTGTTTTTAAGCACGCTCAATGTCTCCATACACCTCTTTACCAGTGGTTCTCAAGTAGGGTAAACCAGGATTGTCCCATTGAGATTAACTCATTGACAGCCATTTACGTCATACGACGTCAACATTGTTTTTCAATCTTTTCCTGTCCGTCTGTGTCTGTGTATCATATATGTCTGGGGTTTGGCTGTAGACAGTATTTTATTAAGCCAGCAGGTGGCAGCAGAGCTCTGTGGGTGTCTTGGTCAAAGATCACTGCCCCAGCACTCTGAGCAGGAGAGACAGAGGTGAAGCAGGCATGGAGGAATATAGTCAGGGTCAGGCTACATTTGGAGGCAGTTTGAGCAGTAAATGTGTCTCCAGAGCTGACAGAGACCATGTGGAACGGACATACACGCCCAAACACACAACGACACACAGGAGTATTCTATTGCACTTGTAGTATATTGTTTGTTCACTTTGATTTATTGTCATTTATAGTGTTTATCATTGTAATTT